TTGTGTGTTTATACTTTGTTAAAATTAAGAATACTTTCATCAATACAATTATAAGTTCATATATATTATTATATTTTCTGTTAGAAACTAAATTTATGTACAAAATCAAAATTTAGTTAAAATAAAAATTATAGTTGGGTAAAATTTGTAAGTTTTTAAATACATAACATTATTAAAAATATAATAACTATAACTAATGGAATATACATAGAATATTTTGGGGAAAAAAATCAGGGCAACCATTGGAGTAAAACCCGAACACATTTCGAGGGAAAAAATAATGTAAACCATTGGAGATGTTCTAATAGATGAAATACTCTTTTTCTTGCTATGAAATTTTAGAAAAATAAGAATAATAAATATGAATGTATATTAATAAATTCATAAAAATATATTAGTGATCTTTTCGATATAAGTGAAATTGATATTTAGTGCTTCAAAATACTTTGCAATAGTTGGATATTATGTTTTACAATTGTGGAAAGAGACACATGAATTTTGGAGAATATCTCATTTAACTTTTGTCCAAAAAAAGTATCTCATTTAACTCATTTTTTAATTCTTTGTTATGTATCTACTATCTAGATATAAAATTCTGAAAGTTTAAAGGTGAAACCATTTGTTTTGCAAGAGAAATAATTGTGCAAAGAAAGTTAGATGTCATGTAAGGGAAAAAAAGTCGGCAGAATAACTGAACCTGGATCACATTGTTATGATGAGTAAGATTTTAATCATTTCTTTGATTTAGAAAATAAAATGACCTAGTAATTAGAGGAAGAATAAATACTCAACCCCTTTAGTTTCTCTTTTCTTTACATGTAAGAAAATCGTTGTCTAATCTCTCGCACTTGGTCCCAAACATCTGTCTAGTTAGTGGGCATCTTTCATTTTTATGAGTTCATGGTAGTTTGATAATAGAAGAAAACGAGAGATAAAGTAACGAAGAAGAATAGAGTGAGGTTTTGTCGTTTGAGTTATGTCTCTTTAACTTGAAGTCTTGACCTCAATGCTAGTTGAGTCACCTTTTTGAGCTCAGCAGGATCGGATTGGCTCACACCGACGATCATAGAAGAAGACGGAGAGACTTCATCAGCAACAGTTCTTGAGCCACCACCTTTTCTGGTTTTGGGATTTCATGGAGCTTGAAGAGTAAATCTCTATGCGTTGGTCATTCGAGGATGATGATGATGATGATGATGATTATGATGGTGTTGATGATGGAGCTAATGTGCCGAGCAATGAGGATCCAAGAGGGTAAGGCGCAACAGGCATGCTAGTAATAAAAGCTCATGGATGTAGATCGCAAAGTTCAAGATGAATAATATATAGGTCGTATGACTAAAAGAAATCATAAAATAATAGACAGCACATTTGTTTGAGAATAACTGAAACCTGTACTAGTATATATTTTGAAACACATAACAATAAGAGCTGTGATTTAAGTTAAAAATATTTGTGAGTAATGTTGATACTCTTGTTTAGGCAAGCACTTACACACTGGAAATTTTTTACCTTATGTATAGGTTAAAAGCCATTATTATCAGAAGCTATTCCTAAGGTTTATGAAGACAAAATGCTATCTCATACTCGACAGGCTCAATAGCTCAGATTACTAAAAAAAACATATATCAAATTCATTTACTCTTAGCCAAAATATTATGCATAAAAGGGTGCCTAGAGGGATTTATACCTCGTTAATAAGTTTTTGAAGTTCATGAGAGCCAAACTTGGGCAGTACCTTTCGTGATTTAGTGGCTAGGGATGCGGGTGCAAAGAGCTATTGCAAGCATGGAAATAAAGGTATTTATGAGATGTAGATCTTACATAGACCAAGTAGTGGTTGCCAATAGTATCTGAATAGTGATTCTCCAGTTGGTGAACATGGCTCTTCTTCAACTACAGAGATTAAAGAGAGATATCAGACTGTTTATATTAGCACCAAAATACAAATACACAAAGCGTTCGACAAACATACTCACATTAGCTGTAGCTCTGTACAACTCCCAATCTCAGCTGGCATAGAACCGGAAAAGTTATTTGAACTGATGCCACTGCACATATAGGTATAAGAAACCATCAAAACGTACTCCAGAAAATACTACCATATTCAACCAACCAAAAAGCACACAAAGCTCACAGTAATTTTAAATTTGTAAGCAGACCAATTTCCTTGAGAACATGGCCAGACAATGCATTGATCCTAAATGTCCTAAGTGATAAAAAGCTAAGCATTGTTAATTGAACGTGCAAGAAAGTCACCAGAAACAAAATTGTTGAAAGGTTTCACAGCCTTACATCCATTCCATCCGAGTCACTCATCTTTTGGAAAGTCTACTGATCCCAGTGCTCCATTAGGGCTTGTAGGCATGAAAGCAATGAGATCCACTAAAGCAGTGCGAACTGCAAAGAGCGGAGAAACAAATTTTAACCATAAGAGCAGAGAGATGATTTTAACTTCCAATCTTATGCAAAATAGACTCTTTTCACAAAATATCCACGAATGGTCAATGAAGAGAGAAACCAGCAGATTTAGTGAAGACGTGAGAATACTTCTCCTTCATGATCGTGATCGCTTAAATAAAACACCATTTCTAGATCTATGGAAGAAAAAACTGAATCAAACACAGAGTATAGTAAATCATTTACAATATAGATTCAATCAAACCTCCCAATATCTCAAAGGGAGTATTGTATGGTGAAATACGTCAAGGGGAAGAAACATAAAATCATCAGATGGATTTGCTTGCATCTCCTTAATCTCCTGTCGAATCCTCTTCGCCGTTGGGTTATTCCGGTTATACCGCCATCTAATCGCCGCTGGGTTATGTTATTTTCTCCAAACTCAACTACTCTAATCCTTACTTAGAAAATCATCATAAAATAATCACCATTGCAGAGGTTAGAATAGAGTCAAAACCTTGAACGTTTTCTGTTCCTCTCTGCTATGACTCCCAGCCTGAGCTAAGAACCAAACTCTGATTGATTTGTCTGACTGTGTTCACATAAATATGTGTCTTGGATGAACTGCACAGATCACAGTGAGATGTAATAAGTTTTTTTTAGTAATGTTTGTATATGCTTAAAAGTTAGCAAAACAGAGGAAATATATAGAATCACTTGCTGATTCGGCTTGGTGTCTTTTGTTTGTAACCTTAACGCTTGTCACCATATATCTATAGGTATAGCTGCAGCTGGTTTCAAAGAAAACGAAGAGGTTCCCAACAATTGTAAAGAAGGAGGTGTGGAAGATGGATCAGAAAGAGAGAAGATGGGGAGGAAATCTAATTTGATACAAGCAAAAAAAAAATAAGATGAAGGTGGGCTTAGAATGTGAAGACAGCCCATTTCAATCAATATCGCGGTTTAAAAAAAAACGTGAATCAGATAACCAACCAAAGTCGGCCATGTGGTGCAAAATCCCCTGTATAAAAAAGTGACGTGGACAGCCTGAAAGGACAGATAACCCTACTTTATTAGTATATATAAGATTTATAGTGAGATATAGAAAAAATTTTTGAATGGGTTCATCCTATTAACTGGTTGTCACTCACACACACGAAGTGCCATTCATGCAGATAATACAATTTTGTAAGTTCGTCACTCTAAATATATAATAATCATTGAAAAGGTTGTGGTTTAAGCAGACAAAATTTTAAGAAATGATATTCTTGATCCACTTTGCACAACATAAACATCAAATTTTTAATATGTATGTAGTGCATCCTTTTATTTTATTTTTCATTTTTTATAACAAAAGGCTATTCGATTCTTGATCCAAGAGCCATCTCAGAGGAACTGAGTCAACATAAACAATAGCAAAAGGCATACATTTTTTTTTGTTATTCTTTTGTTCAAAAAGGTTTTCATACGTTAAAACTATTATGCTACTTAACAATAAAGCTTAGCATAATAAACTAATCTCCTAAAAATAAATTATTTTAAAATTATCCAAATCTGAAGTTATAAGTTAATATATGTTATGTTACTGATTAAAATTTGCTAATATTTAATATACAAAATATTAAATAGTATTGTATGATAGTAAAATTATAAATAAGTAATTTAATTGAATTTTAAAATTATAATAAAAATACAAATATTTATATAATTTTAGTTAAGATTAATAATATAAATGTTTTTGCTTAATATACTTGATTCGTTCGTTAAGTCCGCAATGATTCGTTTTATATTCGAATCCTAATTTAACATTTATAGTAAATATAAACTCCAAAACATTTTAGTCACACTCTAAATAAAGATAACTATGAAATAATTTATTTATCGATGTTATACACTTTAATTTATCTATATGATATGTAAGTATGAAGTAATTTGATATTGGTAAGTTAGATTCGAGTTGATACTATTAGTAGGGATAAAAGATCACATATAAGAATGTAAAGAAAATTTAATATAAAAAAATTAAAGTGAATCTATTTACGAATAATTGGTTTTAAGATAGAAGTATGTAATAAACCCCAAATTTGAAAATTTTAAAGATGTGTGGATCAGGTTTAAACATTTGTAGTAGCTAAGTTTTGTGGTTTTGATATTATGTTAATTTCAAATTTACATAGATTTCCAACTTTAAATCAATTGATGTTAAGTAGATTAGATCAACTCACTTATATATTATTTAAATCTTTTTTCATATTTTAAATGTGGAATTTTTTATCTAATATCTTTCCTCGAGATAATGACGTAGATAATAATATCAACATAAACGGATCACTTTTCGGATCAAATTACCAAATTACAAACCACCAAGTTTAGTTTGTGAAATGTTTGTGTGTGTAACTATTGAATACTATTGTTTTAGTGATGGTTACTAAAAGTAGTTACGAATGAGAAAGAGACCACAAAAGGCCCACTCTAGTCAAACCACTAGTAGAAAGAAAAGCCCATTTGAAGCCTAGAAGAGGAGGCTGGTGGTTCTCTTTAGTCCCTCCAGAGTCTGGAGTTCAGACCTGCTTGATTTCGTTCCTTGCCGCCTCTCTATACCGATTCTCTCCTCTCACAATTCAAAAATAAAAATAAAAAAGAGCTTTTCAAATGCGGCGGAACGGGAAGAAGAGAGCTAGGTCAGAGACCCCTGGCTCCACCACCCATCCCAGAAACAAATACTCCGACAACCCACCCGACTTCTCCCTACTCGCCTCTCTTTACCCTTCTTTCAAACCCTTTGTTTTCTTCTCCGCCTCTCAACGACCCCGCATCGACTGGACCGATTACAACGCCACCCGTGAGCTCACACGTGTCCTCCTCCTACACGACCACGGCCTCAACTGGTGGATTCCTGATGGTCAGCTCTGCCCAACTGTTCCTAACAGATCCAATTACATCCATTGGATCAACGATCTTCTCTCCTCTCAGATCCTCCCAAGCTCATGTGACCAAGTAAAGGGCTTTGACATTGGTACTGGCGCCAATTGCATTTATCCTCTCCTTGGCGCTTCCCTTTTCGGTTGGAGCTTTATTGGCTCAGGTTTCTTCTTCTTTCTTTTAGCATTGCTCACCTTTGCAGTATCTATACAGTCTCAATCAATGTTCTAAAAATATGGCTAGTTGTCTAAATATCATGATTATTACAAGGTTTCTAGGGTGAGGGTTCTTAGCGGAATTTAGAAATAGTACATTTAAGAGTTCTCTTAGTTTTTTTAATTAAAATTTAAGAGAAATTTTCTTCATTTCGCTAAGAACCTCTACTCTAAGAACCTTGCAATAAGCATGCTTGCTCAAATAGAGGATTATTGTTTAGACGGGTAGGTAGACCGATTTTTTTTAACATCTAAACGGATTTTTAAAAAAGAATTGGATTAAAAAAATCCTCTAGCTCATACACGATTTTTAGAACACTGGACTCTAAATGTTGTTGTACTCATGCATGCAGATATAACTGATGTAGCTCTAGAATGGGCTGAGAAGAATGTTCAAAGCAATCCCCACATTTCAGACCTTATTGAGATCAGAGACTCTAAAATCTTTTCATCAGAGGAAGCCCCCACGCGTCCTGAAGATGAATATATGGTACTCCTTGGTGTTGTCAAGGAATCTGAAACGTTTGATTTCTGTATGTGCAACCCTCCGTTTTTTGAAACCTTTGAGGAAGCTGGACTTAACCCTAAAACCTCATGCGGTGGAACTCCTGAGGAGATGGTTTGTGATGGTGGGGAGCAAGCTTTTGTCACCCGTATTATAGAAGATAGTGCTGTCCTCAGGCAAAGATTCAAGTAATTAGCCCTAGATTCTCTTTTATTTGTTATCATGATCCACTAGGAAGGACTTATCTTAATTTGTATTATTAGGTGGTACACTTCAATGCTTGGGAAGAAGGCTAACCTCAAACTCTTGATATCAAAGCTTTGGCAAGTAGGGGTTACTGTTGTTAAGACCACTGAGTTTGTCCAAGGCCAAACTTCCCGTTGGGGTCTCGCTTGGTCCTTTATCCCCACAGCTAGGAAGATTATAGCACCTCCTATTGCTGCCAAAAAGAACAGCCTTCTTTCTTTTATGCTTGAGGTAAACAGTCTTTTAACTTTCATCTTCCTCGACATGCATAAGTATTTGCATGGTGAATTTTGTAGGGAATTAAACGGCAGTACAGTGCTGCAGATGTGTTGCAATCAGTTGAAGAATTCTTCAAGAGCTGTGGTGCCTCGTCCAAATTAAACTCTTCTACCTTTTCTGTTGACGTACGTACTTGTATTGTTTTTATCTTTGGCATCCAATCCTGTTTTTTCTATTGTTTTGCAAGCTCCTTGTATTGTTATGCAGATTGTTGCGTCCAGTGACCAGTGCAACACAATCACACAGATCAGCAAACAACATACACTGGATGGCTCCAGTTTGGAAGTCCCTCAAGACGACCTATCTTTCCGCATCTTGGTTTGTTTGGATTTGATTTAGTATCTCCCTGAAGATTGCCTTTTGCTTTTTCAATGGGTGTGTGATGGAGATATTTCTGATACAGGTGTTCCAGCAGATGCCAGGAACGTTGCTTATAAAAGGATCACTGCAGCAGAAAGATAGTCCTCTCTCAGGTCAGTCGATTTGCTGGCAAAACGTTCACTTGGGTTCATGAATCTCACCATAAGTATCTAATACCAAAACTTTGGCTGCGTGAATACCACTGAATAGGTCATGTAATTTTGCATTTGCAGGGTTGTTCTCTTTGGTTTTGGGTTCGTTGGAGGAAAGTATGAAGTCTAAATTTTGTCGGTAACCTGTTACAGAGTACTGTACTCACTTGAAGAATGGCATCTTGTCTAACTATAAGAAACTGAATTGCATAAAAAGCTTCCATCTCAGACATATGTAACATGTTGGTACATACTAATGGATAATCGATATTGTGACGTTAAGATACGTAATCTAGTAATCTATTTCTATATGATAGAAGTTCCTTTTGTGGAATTTACAATGAATAACCATATATTCACTTGGACGTAATAAACACATCTGACTTTGATTGAACAAAACCAAATAAACAATGTTAAAAAAACTTTCTTTATTTTTTGCAGTTACTATTGTTTTTACCATTTTTATAGTAAAAACTTCATATAATATGAATTTAAAAAAGAGAATTCGGCCAAAAAAAACACGAACTTTGCACGAATTGCCAAAAGAAACCTGAACTTTTGGCATGACCAAAAAAAACATAAACTTTTCATTGACTTTCGAATTAATTAACAAAGTTTTTGTTGACTTGCCAATTTGGCACGCCGTCAACAAATTTAACAGGAAAAAATAACGTTGTTAATTATTGCCGTTAGGATGAAACGACGTCGTTTTAAGCGATTTAAAATAAAAAGCCGTAGACCACTGGACTCGAACCCGGGTTAATCGGATTAAATTGCAAGGTAGTTTACCAATGGGCTAGTGGCGCATTCAATGTACCTACTAACACATTTACTTATATTTGGTACTTATTGAATATAAAAAAATTCTATAAAAACTTTAAAAAATCTTTAAAATTTCAAAAAATGAAAAAAATAAAGAGTTTTTTTTTATAAAATTAATTTTGAAATTAAAATTAAAATAATTTTTTTTTCTTTAAAAAAATCAGACGGGAACTCTTAAAATTTTATTTTTCTCTCAATATATCTACTAACACATTTACTTATATTTGGTATTGATTGAATATAAAAAAAATTCTATAAAACTTTAAAAAATCTTTAAAATTTCAAAAAATGAAAAAATAAAGAGTTTTTTTATAAAATTAATTTTAAAATTAATTTTATAAAAAACATCTTTATTTTTTCATTTTTTTTTTGAAATTTTAAAGATTTTTTAATGTTTTTATAGATTTTTTTATATTCAATTAGTACCAAATATAAGTAAATGTGTTAATAGATACATTAAAAGAAAAATAAAATTTTATAAGTTCCCGTCTGATTTTATAAAGAAAAATAAAATTTTATTTTAATTTTAATTTCAAAATTAATTTTATAAAAAAATTCTTTATTTTTCATTTGTTTTGAAATTTTAAAGATTTTTAAAGTTTTTATAGAATTTTTTTAATATTCAGTCAGTACCAAATATAACTAAATGTGTTAGTAAATACATTGAATGTGCCACTAGCCTAGTGGTAAACGACCTTGCCACTTAATCCAATCAACCCGGGTTCGATTCTAGTGGTCTACGTTTTTTATTTTCAAATAGCTTAAAACGACGTCGTTTCATCCTAACGGCAACAATTCACGTCCGACTTAACACCGTCTTAACGGTTTGTTAACGGTGTGTTAAAATGGCGAGTCAATCGTAAGTTTCTTAATAAACTAATAAAGTCAACAAAAGTTCAGGTTTCTTTTGGCCAGACTCGAATACAGGTTTCTTTTGGACATTCGTGCAAAGTTGGTGCTTTTTTTGGCCGAATTCTCATTTAAAAAATTAAATTGGATATTAGTGGTGAACTTAAGGATTCATCATAAAGAGTGAAACTAAGAATATCTAGGAGCAGGGCTCTCCGCAAACGCGGGGATGTATACGTAATTCTTGCTTAATCTGAGTAGTACGTAATTCTTGCTTAATCTGAGTAGCACGTGTTAGTAATGTTGTTAAACTTGTGTAGTTGTGTTGGAGATATTTGGATACTAAGATGGTTGGAGCGGGTCGTCAATAGTTAAGAGCATGTGTGTTGTTGATTTAGTAGGATGCTTTGTACTAGGAAGAGAGTAACTGAGAAAGCATTTAGCATCACTACTTCAACTTCTTGCACACTTCATATTAATTCACATTTATTTTTGAGAAAATTATTAGAATGATACACAAAATCTTGTATATGAGTAGAATAGTATACATTTTCTAAAAATTACTAGAATATTTTTAGAGTCCTAGTAAATTACAATGAACACCCTTGTTTAATTTTGTTACTATTGATACAAATTTTAATTATTAAATCCACATCATAATTTTGATAATCCACGTCACTAACTAATTTGTGTCATCAACAGTTACACTGGAAAATCAACAGTCCCATATCTCCGGTGAACAAAAAAAAGTCTTAATGTCACAACTTCTCCGTCACAACTTTCGTTAAACCCTAACCGATTACGAAATCACGAAATCATCTTCGTCACAACTAATACTCTTGTTTCGAACTGTTTCCAATATCGTAAATCATTTTCGTCGACCTCGTTAAACCCTAACCGTCTCCGATATCATCTTCGTCGACATCCTCTTCTCCGCAAAAGTTTCGACGTAATCGTATCTACGACATCATCTTCTCATCTTCTCTGGTATGTTGTGCCTGAGTTTGATTTATATTGTGACCGAGTTTGATTTACGACGTGTCTGAGTTATAGAATATGTTGTAACTGAGTTATTGTATAGTGTGGCTGAGTTGAGTTTGATTTATGAAGTGGCTGAGTTACTGATTATGATCCGACTGAGTTATTGATTATTTTTTGGCTGAGTTATTGATTACTGTGGCTGAGTTATTGATTATGATGTGGCTGAGTTATATATTATGTTGTGGCTGAGTTATTTATTATTTATGATGTGGCTAAGTTATTGATTATGTTTTGACTGAGGTATTGATTATATTTCGGCTGAGTTTTGTTTCTATTACGACTGCGTTATATGGTGGCTGGGTTATTTATTCTGTTGTGACTGAGTTTTGTTACTATTGCGGCTGATTTATCTATATATGTGTTTTAGGATCAGATGGCTATTTCCGAAGATCAAGCACATGATTATCCTCCACGACTTTACGGTGAATGGGATTCTAATCTAGAAAATAAAGAGATTAATCACAATTTGCAGATGGGAGATTTCCCTAACGTTAGAGAAGCAATAGGACGGGATGTGTGAGATCACATGAGGCTGGGTCCTCTTGGAATTATTGTGAAGCTAGCTGAACGCAAAAGCGTGTGGTCTAGTAGGACTGTCCACTATCACTATGTCGACAGCTTCGAGTATACATGAATGAGATTTGGAGTCTAGTTGGTGATGAACCTATCAGGTTTAGCTTACTCGAATTTGGTGAGATCACTGGGTTAAACACAGATCCAGTGCCAACAGAAAGTTTTGAACATGACCAATACAAAGCGTTTTGGGAGGAGTTGAATCTGCCGCTTGGGATGGGACCCAAGTTAGATGAACTGAGGGCAGCATTAGAGGTATGTCNGCTTACTCGAATTTGGTGAGATCACTGGGTTAAACACAGATCCAGTGCCAACAGAAAGTTTTGAACATGACCAATACAAAGCGTTTTGGGAGGAGTTGAATCTGCCGCTTGGGATGGGACCCAAGTTAGATGAACTGAGGGCAGCATTAGAGGTATGTCCGGCCTGGAGTTTTGAAAAGCGTAAATGGTTAGGGCTGTTGCTTCTTCAAGCCATGAGACTTTATGCTTTGCATCATAATTCTAGTATACCGTTTGAAAGTGCAAAAAGAGTATTCGACGATGAAGCCATGATGACATATCCATGGGGGCGGACTGCATATTAAGTTCTTGTTGACTATATTAAGATGTTGAATCCACAAGGAAGGACATACACCATAAGCGGTCTGAAGGACGTGTTGTTGGTTTGGGCGTATGAATCTGTCATTTGTTTTGGAGAGCGTTTTGGGAGAGTGATCAGTGACCAAGAAGTTCCACTTTTTCGATGGGGTGGAAAGCGTACACGTTCAAGTTGTGATACTGTCATTATTGAGGTGATTAGAAAACATGGCAAGGTAAGGTGTCAACTGATTTATTATTTATTTGTTGGCCGAGTTATAAGTACTTATGTACTTAAGTGGCTGGGATTTTTGGTATTAGTTATTTGATGGCTGAGTTAGCATGTATAAAGTGTCTGAGTTATTAGTTATTTTATGGCAGAGTTATTAGTTGTTTTATGAACACATAAAAGTAGTATTAAAGCACCAAAAACCCAACCACCATATAAACAATATTTCAGCCTCTTGGTATTAGGTTTGATGGCTGAGTTAGTATGTACATAGTGGCTGGGTTTTTTGGTATTAGTTATTTGATGGCTGAGATAGTGTTTATATGGTGGCATGGTGGCTGGGTTTTTGGTACTTTGTGGCTGAGTTATTAGTACTTTGACAGCTGAGTTATTATGTATTCGGTGGCTGATTTTGTAGGTGCGCGTGAGAAAAATGGTTATGAAGGACTCCGTAGAAGAAATGTTTTCTCAGTGGCCGTATGAAGCAGCTGACCCGCAACTCGTTAATTTGATAACAGACATATATGCAGGTCGGTTTGTTAGAGGTTTTTGGGGAACACAGATGAAACGCAAAGGTTTTTGGTGTTTCGTCAAAGACTGAGCTAGCCACCCATTAAGAAGCAGAAGAAAGTGAGCAGCTTCCAAGAGGATGAAGCTTCTGTGGAGGGAAATGGTGCTTACAAGAAGGAAGGAAAGGATGATAGTGGGGAAAATACGATAATGTTGAGAATAATGTATACTCTAGATAGAATTGTCTCAAAAATAGACAGCCACGCGAACAGATTCGAAAACTTTGACGCGCGGTTATCCAGAATCGAGTCCAGTTATACGAACATTCCTGATTTACTCAGAGTTGCAGTGGACGAGTACTTCTCTAAAGTTCCCCAACAATCTTTAACGTTGCCATCACCATCACCGCCACCGCCACCGCCGAACTTTTTTCCGCAGCAGTCAGTCAATAGTTCACCTGCTAAGGCCTCTGGCCATAGTACACCTGCTAAGGCCTCTGGCCATAGTACACCTGTTAAGAATTTGGGAGACACTGTTGATTTCGTTGGTGTTTCTCCTGCAAAGGACCCAGCCTTAGGACGCGGGAACATGATAAGGTTTAAACAAAAAGGCTATGAGGTTAAAGAGAAGGACAAAGAGGCGGCTGAGTTAGGAAAGAAAGATGCGTCTCCTAAGAATAAC